CCTGTCCCTGAAAACCCAATTCTTTTCGTCCCTGAGAATGAATTTTTGGCCCTGAGAAAAGAATTTCCTGGCACTAAAGTAAAAAAATCTTTTTTTTCCCCCTGAGTAACAATTTTTTCGGGGCCACCCCAGAAAACAATTCGTCTGTCCCAAAAGTAAAAATTTGGCCCTAAAAATTTCTTTTCTGTGGCCCTAAGTAAAAAATTTCCCCGGGGCACTGAGTGAAAATTCTGCCCTGTCCCTGAGTTTTAATTCTGGGGCCCCCCTTAAACTAGCGTTTTTTTTGTCCCTAAAAAAAAAACGTTTTCGGGGCCTAAATTAACAAGTCTTTTCCCCCCTGAGTAAGGGTTTTCTGCCCCTTTAATTTAACTTTTTCTCTGCCCCCAAATTTCCCCCCGGTTTTTTTGGGGCCCCTAACCCCTGCCCCCCTGCCCCCTAGAACAAAGCGGCCCTGCCTTTTGTTCAATGAGGGGGCGGGCCCAAATAAAAGTTTTCCCCAAAATGGGGCCGCTATAAATAACCCCACCTTTTACCATTACAAAAGGCGGGCTGGCCCTGTTGGCTGATCGTAAACATGTCGTTGGGGAAATCCCTTATGGGGAAACCCCCCCCCTTTCTGCGGGGCCCTTCCCCCCGACACCCCCCGCCCCCGTCCCCCGGGGCAAAAACCCGGGCCGCCATTTTTCCGGAAAAATTTTTTCGATTCGCCGCGTCCGAAAAAAGGGGGGCCTTTTTTTTTTTCCGGATTGGGCAAAAATGAAATTTTTCTGATATTGGGATTTTCAATTCCATTTTTCCGGGAAAATTTCCCGATTCCTAAACCAAAATCAAAAGATGTTAAAACAACCCTGCCCTATTGTTCTTCCAACCCTTTTTAAAACCCCTATAGGGGAACTAAAATAACAGCTGTCCCTTATAAGTTGGCAAAACTGAAAAATAACCCTTTTAAAGCAAAGAAAGAAAAAACTCAAAAAAGGCCACATTGCCCCAAAATTCCCAAAATTGTTAAGATCAAAAGACTAACCGAACAAATAAAAAGGGAATAAAAAACAAAACAGAACAAAAAAATGGGTTTGGGCTTAAGTGGTGAAAAAAAGGGAAAACTTACGGGTTTATAAAAGCTTTTGAAATATTTTTTTTTCCCATAAAAAAATTTTTTCCTTTTTTAAACATATACCATTAATTATACAGAAATTTTAAATTGAAGTTTTTTTCACTATAAAAAAAAAATTCTGTCCCAGATGTAAGCTGCAGATTTTGCAGGGGGAAATTTTTTTAGGGTTTTTAAAACCCAAGGGATTTTACATTAAAAACCAAAATTAAGAGGGAAAACACAAAATTTGGAATAGGGCTGTGTGAAGTAAACAAAATGGCGGGTTGGTTTATCGTATTTTTAACGCTCAAATTTTCTCATTGTTGTAGAAAAAAAATATCCCATTTAATTTTTTTCCCTTTTCCTTTAAACGGGACAAATAAACAACTTATCTAAAAGGGTTAAATATTGTGTTTAGAAAAAAATCCCCAAGGGGTTACCGCTCTTTTTTAAAGCAAACCATTAGGGGATCACGGGAAAAGGGGGGAAAAGGGCCCGGGGGGGGGGGGGAAAAAAAACCCTCCGAAACAAAAATTTTCCTTTTTTTTAAACCCCTCTGTTTTTTCAGGGGTCCAATTTCAGCAAATTTTTTTAAAAAAAGGAAGACCCGACTTAAATTTCCCCAAACTCAGAGCGGGTACTGACTCAGCATCATTTTTAAACCAAAGATGAAAATGCAAAAAAAGTTATAAGAGTTTTGGAATAAATTTTTAAACCCGGTGTTTTTTTAAATTTTAGTTGTTTTTTTAGAAATCGAAACAATTTCCCCCAAAAAAAAAAAAGTTTGAGGGGAATTTTTAGCAAAACAAAGGGGTAGAGAAAGGGTTGAGGGAGATGTGAAATGAAAACCACTCAGGGGTCTAGATTTAAATTTTTTAAAAGTTTAAATAAAAAAAAACAAGTTTTCCGTTTGAAAACCATTTTTTGGGTAAATTCCCCCCTTTTTAAAATTTTTGGAAAATAAAAAACTTTTCCTGTAAACCCAATATTTTTAGAGCCTCCCCCCCCAAGCTGTTTTTTTTCCTGGTTGGAAAACCCCTCTACATTTTTATAGCTAAAAAAACAGTAAATGCGGGAAACCCCGGGGCCCTTTGCCCAAAGGGGCAAAAAAGATATTTTTCACCGGGTTTTTTTGGGAAAGGGAAATTTCCCCAGAAAATGGTGGGACCCCCCTCCCTTTGTGGCTGAAAAGTCCCCGGGGCTGGCCACGGGTGCCCCCACAATCAAGCCCTAAATCCTGCAGCCAGCCAAACACCTAAAAAAATTTCCCTTTATGAAAGGTGTTTTTTAAGGGGAGGGCCCCAAGCCCCTGCAGTTTTTGCCTTGGTGTGGGGGTTTTTTTCCCCCGGGGGCCCCTGTATCTTGTTCCTGCATCCCGGTTCCTGTTCTTTTTTTTTCCTGTCTTTTGGTCGGGATTATTGTTCTGAACCCTCCCCCCACCAAAAACCAAAACCTGCGATTTTCCCCTTTTTTTTTTTTGTTTTTAAAAATTTCCCCTGGCCCTTGTAACCCCAAACCTTTTTCTCTGCCTTAACCCCCCTTTTCCAACCTCCCCCGATTGTTATTGACCCGCCCCCCTAAACGAAAACTTGCATTGTATATATACGGTGGGGGTTTTGGTTTTTTTTTTCTTTTTTGCATGGGGTTTATTTTTTTAAATTTTATTGGGCACTGCGTTTATGTTTTTTATTTTTTTGTTTTTTAAAAAAATTATATTTTTTTATAAAAAAATTTTGAAGCCTGCTTTTTCCTCCCCGCAGTCCCCATACCTTGGCCCACCCGGGGGGCCCCCTGACTTTACCCCAAGGCCAATCCTACCAGAAGGGGCCCTGCACGGGGAAAGCCATCTTGGCTTTTCCCGGGGAAGGGATGGATCTGCTAGGGGTTTGATGAAAAGAGAAAAACCCCTTATCAGCCCTCTGAAGGAGTAACCCGGGGAAATAAAACCTGCTAGAAGTAAAACCGGATCCCCTCATTTTTCCTGTAGATCGGGGGGACAAATTTTCTCTGAGGTGCGGGCCATTGATTCAGGTTTTGTGCGATTGGGTTTTTAAATCTGGTACCCCCAAAAGGGCCGGGGATAAAATTTTTGCCGCCATTTAGGGCCAAACCGGGTAAAACCCCCTGGAAAGGGTTTTTATTGGGGGAAAATTGGGGGTTTACTTTCGGGAGCTTTTTTTTCTGAAAGTTCACCCAAAAAGAAAAACTAAGAGTTTAAAATAAACGAAACCCCGTCATTGACCAGACGGGCTTTGGGGTAAACGGACCCCTTCGTTCAACCCAAAATCCCAGACTTTGGGGCCCCAGACTTTTTGAAACCCCCAAGCCCAGTCCCCCTTACAAAAAAAATCTTTCCCCTCCCTAAAAGGAAAACTTTTTCCTGAAATCCCCGACAGCACCCCCACAAACTGCCCAGAAATATTTTAATACCATCCTGCCAGTATCCAAACCGGAGAACCTGCCTTCTGTGGTTCAGCCTGGTGCCTCAGCACCCGCACTTCAGCCTGATGCCTGTACCCAGCCTGATGCCTGTACCCAGCCTGATGCCTGTACCCAGCCTGATGTCTGTACCCAGCCTGATGAACTGATCCAGCCTGATGATCCTATCACACCTGATGACCCAGTGCCCGCTGTCGAGCCAGACGATCCAATGCCTGATGACCCAGTGCCCGCGGTCATACCTGGTGACCCGATGCCCGCTGTCGAGCCAGACGATCCAATGCCTGATGACTTAGTGCCCGCTGTCATGCCTGGTGACCCGATGCCCGCTGTCGAGCCAGACGATCCAACGCCTGATGACCCAGTGCCCGCTGTCATGCCTGGTGACCCGATGCCCGCTGTCGAGCCAGACGATCCAACGCCTGATGACCCAGTGCCCGCTATCATGCCTGGTGACCCGATGCCCGCTGTCAAGCCAGACGATCCAGCGCCAGATGACCCGGTGCCCGCTGTCGATCCAGACGATCCGGTACCTGATGACCCAGTGCCTGCTGTCATGCCTGGTGACCCGATGCTCGCTGTTGAGCCAGACGATCCAACACCAGATGACCCGGTGCCCTCTGTCGATCCAGACGATCCGGTACCTAAGGACCCGATGCCCGCTGTCGAGCCAGACGATCCAATGCCTGATGACCCAGTGCCCGCTGTCATGCCTGGTGACCCGATGCCCGCTGTCGAGCCAGATGATCCAGCGCCAGATGACCCCGGTGCCTGCTGTCGAGCCAGACGATCCGGTACCTGATGACCCGGTGCCCGCTGTCATGCCAATTGACTCAGAGCCCACTGTCGTGCCTGGTGACTCGGTGCCCACTGCCTTGCCAGAAGACGCGATGCCCGCTGGCGAGCCAAATGACCTGATGCCTGGTGACCCAGTGCCCACTGTCATACCTGGTGACCCGATGCCCGCTGTCGAGCCAGACAATCCAATGCCTGATGACCCAGTGCCCGCGGTCATGCCTGGTGATCCGATGCCCGCTGTCAAGCCAGACGATCCAGCGCCAGATGACCCTGTGCCTGCTGTCGAGCCAGACGATCCGGTACCTGATGACCCGGTGCCCGCTGTCGTGCCAAGTGACTCAGAGCCCACTGTCGTGTCTGGTGACTTGGTGCCCACTGCCTTGCCAGATGACGCGGTGCCCGCTGTCGAGCCAAATGACCTGATGCCTGGTGACCCGATGCCCGCTGTCCAGCCAGACGATCCAATGTCTGACCCAGTGCCAGAGGTCATGCCAGTTGACACGGAGCCCCTGTCGTGCCTGGTGACTCGGTACCTGTCGCTCCACCTGGGAGTCCGGCACCCGCCGCTCCGCCTGGGGGCCCGAGACCTGTCGCTCCGCCTTGGGGTCCGGCGCCCGCCGCTCCGCCCTGGGGGCCCGAGACCTGTCGCTCCGCCTGGGGGTCTGGCGCCCGCCGCTCCACCTGGGGGCCCGAGACCTGTCACTCTGCCTGGGGGCCCGGCGCCCGGCGCTCTGCCTGGGGGCCCGATGCCCGTCGCCCCGCCTGGGGGCCCGACGCCCGTCGCCCCGCCTGGGGGCCCGGCGCCCGTCGCCCCGCCTAGTGGCCCGATGCCTGTCGCCCCGCCTGGGGGCCCGATGCCTGCTGCTCCGCCTGGGGGCCCGATGCCTGCTGCTCCCGCCTGGGGGCCCGATGCCTGCTGCTCCGCCTGGGGGCCCGGTGCCTGCTGCTCTGCCTGGTGGCCCGGTGCCTGCTGCTCCGCCTGGTGGCCCGGTGCCTGCTGCTCCGCCTGGTGGCCCGGTGCCTGCTGCTCCGCCTGGTGATCCGATGTGCCTCTGCCCGGAGTCCAGCCCGATGTGCCTCTGCCCGGAGTCCAGCCCGATGTGCCTCTGCCCGGAGTCCAGCCCGATGTGCCTCTGCCCGGCATCCAGCCCGATGTGCCTCTGCCCGGAGTCCAGCCCGATGTGCCGCTGCCCGGAGTCCAGCCCGATGTGCCGCTGCCCGGAGTCCTGCCTGATGTGCCGCTGCCCGGAGTCCTGCCCGATGTGCCGCTGCCCGGAGTCCTGCTCAATGTGCCTCTGCCCGGTGTGCCGCTGCCCGGAGTCCTGCCCGGTGTGCCGCTGCCCGGAGTCCTGCCTGATGTGCCAGTCTTTGATATCCCGCCAGTTACCAGACCCAGGCGGTGGAACATTTTGCCCAGCTAGGACTGTTTGGAGCGTCCTGAGGGCCCGCTCCTTGAGGGGGGTACTGTTAGGAATGGACTTGCCAGTAATGGTGGGACTCACCTGCCTTGTGGGCTGCAGTACCAGGGCTGGCCAGCGGGTGCTCCCAGCAATCAGAGACTCAACCCTGCAGCCAGCCAAACACCTGAAACTGCTTATGCAGGTGTATTTAAGTGATGGCCAGACCTGCAGTCTTTGCCTTGGTGTGTGTGTTTTCCTGGGCCCTGTATCTTGTTCCTGCATCCCTGTTCCTGTTCCTGTCTCTGTCTGATTCGTTGCTGACCCTGCCTGATCCGGACTTCTGCTGACTTCTCCTGTTTTATCCCTGGCTTGTGACCCCGACCATTCTCTGCCTGACCCCCCTGTACCTACCTGCCCGATTGTTATTGACCCGGCCTGCCTGACGACGCTTGCATTGTATGTATTATCTGTGGGTGGTTTGGTTTGGTTCGTTTGCACTGTGTTATGTTTTAGTATTGCACTGCATTTATGTTTTTATTGTTAGTCTTTAATAAATTATATTGTTTATAACTTATCTGAAGCCTGCGTTTCCCTGCGTCAGTCACATACCTCTGGTCACACACCCTGGAGCCCTGACACCAGGTGCAGTGTTAATATGTAGACAGGGGATCACACTGGGAGCTTTGGCCGCTCTGTTCTTCCACACCTCACTAAGAGGAGTGTCTGCAGGGCCTATCTGTCTGCTGAAAGAAAGATTCTGCTCTCTCCTCCCTCCAATAATAGGCTATTGTGGGCAGCTGCTAAGAACACAGCTCTATCTCAGTGTGCTTCCACTGGGGAGTGAGGACAGACTACGGTTTGCCATCTTCACCCTGGGCACTAGATGACCTTGTCCCGGCACTGGCAGCATTCCCCATCTAATATAAACTAGGTGCTTCAGGAAGTGTGAATCTTCAAACTTAATAAAGAGGGATCCACAACCTAATCATGAATTGCCCTTTTTTCTTAGTGGCCAATTATAATTAGTTGAAAGATGTGCAAAATATCCTTTGAAGCCTTATTTTTGGTGGACTAGGCCACAGGAAATAATTGGACATTTTCTTTCTCTAAGCTCACTACAGTACAGTAGCCTTAAACCCAACTTACTTCCAAGCAGAGGCGGACTGATCATTTGGAAACTCGGGCACTGCCCGGGCCCGGGGTCAGTAGGGGGCCCCATGAGATGTCCCTGGTACCTTTTTCATAGGCTTTTTTGAGTTTGGGCAAGGACACAGGGGCCCCATGATCCCCTATTGCCCGGGGGCCCCATGAGTTGTCAGTCCACTCCTGCTTCCAAGGGTTACAGTCCATCGTACATGGCTATTCTAGTTTGTAGCTTATTAAATACTGTAAATCTGTGCTCAGACCTTCAAAATAACCCAAAGCAAACATATTTACCACAAACTGAAAATTCCCTCTTCACTCCTCACTGATAATACTTTAATTCTGCTGAAACAGATTTTGGACAGGCATTCATTTAAAAAGAGAACAACTTTCATAAAAATTCCAGTCTAAATTTCCCAAATGCAAGATCATGTGAGCTTAGTTATACTTTAAGGGACTTTCTTCTTCACACTTAAAACAGATAAGATTGTTGTCTGTAGTTATGTAATATATTTAAAAGAAGATGTGGGAAGATTCACTGGAAATTCTACCAGTCTGAAATTAAAAGGTTAGTGGCATGACTGCACATCCATCATCTGTGAGTTACATTTTTTGCTGTGCAGAAATAATTCGTAGGAAGTATACACAAGAAAGTTAAACATGGACTGCACAATACAGATAGAATATTACCTTGATTGCATACTTTTCCCCATAGCAATAAATATTTAAACTACAAAGCAATCTCTAGGTACCCATTTTCAGGAGTTGGTAATTTCTCATTGGCAACCCAATACTTCTTTCCTTAGCACCCCTAGAACTTTCCCTACAGCCCTCCAGTCCACTCTGAACCTGAATGCTGCTTGTCCTAAAGTATGTCTAAACCCAAGAGTATTTAATATATTGTAGTGTTACCAGTTCTTATGTGTGGTGGCTGCAATATTTTTATTCGTTGCAGCTTTTTTCCCTTTATTTTCACACAGTGATCCTGCCAGTAACATACTTCCTGTCCTAGGACAATGCTCATTCACTGTAAAGTATCTATGGAAAAGCAGTATTCACTCCTGATTAGGACTTAGGGTTAGTTTACAAATGTGAACAATGCCGAGCTGGTAACACGGCTTGAGATTTCAGTGCAGCAAAGGTACACACAAAGGTACACACAAAGGTACAAGCTCATCCGAATTCTGGCAAGATCAACAAGTCATTTATTTACACTTTTTGAAAAGGTATAACAAAATGTTTTCAATTTTATATTTAACAGACCACAAATGGTAAAAATAAGACAAGCCATGCCTCTTATTTTGGCTGCTCCCAATTCATTCCATATATAACAGAAAATAAAATGGTTCTAAAATGTTTTTTCTTTGAAAATAATGAGCAAAATGTGTTTAAATAGTTTCCAATTACTTCTCTGTGCCTTCCACCAATTTCTTGAATTGCTCACCATGGTACACACCCTTACATATAAGCACTTATCAGATGGTATTGACCACTTGTCTCTAAGTTGGTTAAAGCTTGTGTTTAGCTAGAGCCACTTTCCCTTAACTAATGTTTCCTCCTTCAATGTGCAGGCTCTCCTTTCAGTAGCAACTCAGGAAAAAATAAGGGCGAAGAAGCTCAAAAAATTTGACACCTCCAATGGAAAAACATTACAATCATTTGCAATGTAAAAAAAATGTACCTCTACTTGATGTAGATGATACCCTAAGTACACTAAACATCTAAAGCTTACCATTGCATGTTATCACAACTTTTTAACAGCTCAACCTAAACTAATAACCACACAGTGGTAAGATGCATTTTGTGAAAATGATTTTGCAACTACTGTATATCTAAAACTATTTCAAATCAACATTAAACAGCATTAAGACCACAAAATAACCATACATAATGGGCCACTTAAAGGTATAGTTGAACAAAAGACAACAGAGATCAATATTACAAGTCAATGAATATTAATTATGTCACTATACCCATAGTCATTTATTACTGCTCCAAAATGAAATATTAGCAATAATTCGACATAGCTCTAGAGCTATGTGTGTGTGTGTATATACAGTATATATATATATATATATATATATATATATATTTAGTATATGAAATCAGAATATTGGATGAGATCAATTTAAGGGTATCTCTGCCTTTGCCCTTTCTTAAGTTCAATTCAGAAAGGGTAGGGAAGTCAGAAACTGTTCATATGTACGCTTTATTTCTGCAATGAATCCACAACAATTTTGCATGATGGAGTGCAGCACTCTTACATTTGGCGGTAGAGGGAAGCCAGTCAGCAATAAG